TATTTATTGCAAGAGCATCTGGGAATGCCATTGTTGACACTTTAAAGTTCTAGTGTGGGGAATGAATATCTCAATCCTAAGAAATGCTTCCAAAGCTGAGTGACCAATAAGCAACAGATGTCTACTACTGTTGTAAAATAAAAAATGAAATTCTGTCACTTTTACGTAATGAGAGTAATCTTGAATAAATTATTAATGAATGCATATCAGAGAAAATATTTAATCGCATTCATATTGGTTAACAGCACCCTGAATTAAGTGATTCTACATGGCTGTAAAATCCCAAATGATTTACTAACAGTCAGTGTCCAATAGGATGCAGAGAAGTAATCCATCTTGTTTTGGTGATCAAGGGAATACAGATTCTACATTGTATCAAATAATATCACATTAAAATTTTACAATTCATTTGGAAAATAATTACTACATTTAGAGAGATAGAAGCTTTGAGTTTACATATTTGTGATGAAGAGGTAAATGTCTATCCCACACTGTCTCCACAAGTTTTTATAAGATTCTTTTAATATTTGGCAGAATTCTTTCAACACTTCAGGCAGAATTCTTCCTGAAATTTTCACATACACTTATGTGAGCAACTGACTATGGTTAGGTTCAATTTGTGACTGTGGAATAATGCAATCACATTTGTTTTCTGTAATGTTTGTACATTCAGTATATCCTCTTTCCATTCCCTTTATATAAATCACATTTAGCCATTTTCAATCCCCCAAAAATGGCAAGACACACTCACAAGACCCTGGCTCACAGAAGGTTAATGCAGAAACTCTAATTGTCATTCTTATTTTCAGTATGGGAAAAAAGGTAGGTGACATCACTGTATCTAGATGCTTCCCAAATAGTGAGAGACAAAAATGAATCCACTTTGAAGATTTCCTTATGAAGACAGTTGTAAAACTTTTCATTGGATTTTAGAAAATTAGAAAGTACATAAAGGGGGCAGAGATCATTATTCATGTATTCATTCATCCAACAAACATTTATTGAGAGACTATTATGTGCCTTAGGCATTTGGTATACATAAGTAAGCAAAACAGATTCCCCTTCAAGAATAAAATAGAGAACACCCTTCCAAAACAGATTCTTCTCCAAAGAATAAAACAGAAAACTCCCCTTAAGGAACTTGAAATGTTAAGGAAGTTAATTAAGGAACTTAAAATATTAGAGAAATGTGAGTAAAAAAGGCATATAGTGACAACAGCTATGAATGAAGAAGAATAAGAAATAGGGTACTGGGAGTGCCAGGTTTTGGGGATGGGCAAGTTGCAATTCTAAATAGGATGTGTATTTAGTATCATGGAAAAGGAATATTTGAACAAAAATTTGGAGGAGATAAGGCTATTCACCATCCTAGTGTCTGAAGAAAGAGCATTCCAGGCAGAAAGAATGGACTGGGAAAGGCCAGACAGTGTCTGTTGCGTTTAAGGCATGAAGGTCACCTGGCTAGATGTAGGGGGCACTGAAGGGAAGGAGGGAAAGGAGTAGGTGAGGTGAACTTTGAAGCCACAAGCTGGGATAGGACTTCCTGAGGTCCAAACTGACTCTGCTACTTCGTAGCTTCCGCATGATACTTAATATTTCCAGACCTTTTAGTTCTTACCTATAAAATAAACCAAATGCATGTGATGTTTTTTATATGTAATATTATTCACAATAAGATCTCTATAATAATATGCTAGTTAGATGACACTAATTGTGGCAAAAGAGTTGCTGGTAGGGCTAGACCACTTTACAAATCCCATCAAGTGATTTCAGTGAACCCAATGAGTGCTGGCAGAAGAGGGCAAGTGGGTGTGAGTGGTTTAATATTATCATTTTATGTTCCCCAAAGATTTATTTTAGAAATTTGACTATAGAAAAATTACAGCTTCAAAATATATTTGTGGCTGTTGGGGGTATGTTATAATATTATGAATAAAATCAGGGGAGTGGGGAAAGAATAAAATATTACATATTGGTGTTTTGGAGGCAATAGGAGAATGTGAATTTTATAATCACAAGAAGGCATAACTGACAAGAGATTGAGAAAATTAGTTAAAACTTTCTGCAACCTCTCATGTTAGCAAGAGTAAAATAAAACTATATGAGGTAAGGTATAAACAAATCAGTTGTACCACATTACATTTAAAGTTAGTGTGGAAACATATTAAATAGATATATATTCATGAAATCAAGAACAGGAAAAAATAACCAACCAGAGTTAGCTCACATGTTGTTCAAGAAAGTGTTTCAATCCACCTTTAGGACATTCTCAGGGTGGAGACTGGTATTCCAACATATCCTAGTGCACTGATATTGGGTATTAAGATAAAATAATATTTAAAAAAATTATTTAATTTTAGGTGTAGTTGAAAGAACTTTGGGCATAGATTTAGATTAATGTGTTGTGAAATCATGGACAATTCAATATACAAATGTAAATACTGTAATTACTAGTATCAACAGCATAATCACAAGGCTTGATTTTAATACACTTACATCTCAGAAATGATATTTTAAAAGTATATTGAAAAGATTATATTAGATATTCAATAATCTATGCTTTGCTCAGTGAGTCATCCATTAGAAGTCATTTAAGTCTGTTTCAATGTCAAGTTCTTATAATAGTTCATTTTCATTCAACTCTTGATTAACTCTGAATAGATTATTCACTTGGTTACTTGTAAAAAGTCAGGTACCACAAATATTTAATGCCAACATTGTTTACACAGCCTTTCCTAGATACTCTGGGTTCAACATCTTTGGACATAGTAGTCACTATCTCAATGTGGGAGATTAGACTAGAAAAATCTCAAAGGACATTGTCAGTGCAGAAGAGTAAACTGGTTCACTAAAATAGCCTTCTTATATTGATTAGATTTCTTTTTCAAGCATCCCTCTCTTCAGAGATGAGAAACCTTCAACTAGTCAATTTCATTGTTCCAGATGATAAGGTAACACATCTCTCAGTGTGCATTAATTCATTGACATTCTAATTTACAAATGAGAGTTTTATGAAATAATTCCCCAAACTATGGACATTTTAGATGAAATTAAAAAAAAAAAACTTTTGGAAACACTAAAGGCAAGTGAGTCAATGGGGTAATTTGAAATCTAAATTGAGGCTATAGACCATGTCATAATATTTTCAGTATAAAAACAATTAATTAATAGTTTTCTTAAACCTATATATATTTGCCAGGAGCAGTTGGCTGTGTCACATGTTTTATGAATTTCATCAGTGTAAGAAGTAAGTGAAAGGAATATTAGTAATATTTCAATGTTCTGGAAAAAACCCTTTCATGCGTTTGTATATATTGCTAAAAATGTAACATGTAAAATATTTAAGTTCACTTCATTATTGTCTCAAAGCAGGATTGAAATGGATCAAGAATGATATGTAACAATTGAGCCAGCCAAATCAAGCACATGTGAAGATAGAAAATCCACCGTAAGCATGATGCACAACATTAACTATGAATGTAACAGCAACTTCTCATTTCATCAATGGTATTCAATATTCTCCTCAAGTATTACAGAAGAATTATTTATCAAAAAGTCAGACAGAAAAGCCAAATGACAGGTAGATTTTCTTTATTAAAATCTTCACATGACCGGCACTGCTCTTCAAGGATTTCAAAACAGAAGTCCATTATATTACAGAAAGCATACTTAATTCAAATACAGTGACCAACTAATCATACTATTCCACACATCTTTCTGTCATGTTATTGTGAATGATGACCAATTTTGCCACTTCTATAGAAGCAATATGTTTAATGTCAAAATCATTTCCTGATTAAAAAATATATCCACCCAATTCCATGAAAAGATAAATTAATTGCCAAACAAAATGTTAGTCATCAAATGAATATAACATTCATTAAATCAAATTTTTCAGTTCCCAGAGTTGACATGATATAAAAATTACCCATGGAATCACTACTTCATCATAGGATGGTATAAAAATTCCGGTAAAATAAACAATTATGATAACAAACTCAGGTTGAATCAATGATAAGTGTTTATAATCTGCTTATGATTTTATACATGTCTACATATAAATACTGTCCATATTATTTTTCTGAGTCAATGTCTGAATTCTACTCAAAATAACAAGATACAACTTAAAACACTGCAGTTTCAAACCAATAAGGTCTGAGATTTTTAAAAATAGCATATATTAGTTTATTTATTTAATTTTTGTTATAGCAAACTACTACAAATATAGTTGCTTAAACCACAGAAATTAATTATCTTGCAGCTTTGTAGTTCAAAGTCTGACATGGGTCTCACTTTGCTAAACTGAGGATGTCCACAGGGCTGCCTTCTTTCCAGTCTTTAAAAAACATTTCCTTATCTTTTTTAGCTTATTAAGCCTACCCTCACTCATTTCTTGGCCCATAGGCTTCATCCTCCATCTTAAAAAACACAGATTTCACGTCTTTCTGACTGTTCTTCAATTGTTGAATCTCTGTCTCCGACCCAGCAGGGAAAGGTCCTCTGCTTTTAAGAACGCAGGATTAGATAGGGTCAAACAGAATAATTTGAGATGAGATTCTCATATCTGAGTCTTTAACTTAGTTGCATCAGCAAATTCCTTTTGCCTTGTAAGGTACAATATTTACCTGTTGTGGGGATTAGGATATAGACATCTTTGGAGGGTATACTACAGAGCAGAAATGAAGCATGAGATTAAGGCATATTAGAGCCATAGGTCCGAGAGTGACTGGTTGGTATCATCACTCCAATTCTTGTCAACATTATTAATTGGATCTTTATTTTCATGCTTATTCGAAAGTTTAAAAATTATCTGAATCAAAAATCTGGCACTCCACAGGGAGGGAAAATAACCATGCCTTTTTTTCTTGAGTTTCTCAGAGAGTCTGTAGAATTTTCTAGTTTGTTCTCTAGAGCAAGCAGTTTGGAGGATGTTATAAATGTTTTTGACGGTTTTTGCAACTAAGAGAATTCAAAAAATATTATTTTGAATTTAGTAAGAGCTTTTAGTTTGTATTTAAACCTTTTTTTTTCTTGTGAAATAACTTAAAATTTTGATATTGAATGTTAGTTGTATTGAAAAGAGAATTTGCTATTTAGTTTTAAGAAAACTAGCATTTATATGTAATGTGATCTTAGTTTATTCATTTAATCTGTCTTATACTTTGTTTTCTCACTTACATCCATTCTTACCACTTCTCATCACGTGCATGTGAGGGTCAAATATGCAGATGTTAGATTTGTAAGCACTACGATGCCATACAAATTTTGGTTCTTAATAATATTTTATTCTCTTAGCACCCATTGGATAGGGTATCATTATTTCCTTTTAATTAAAACAGTAGAGGCATACATACATGAGCACACAGGGCAAAGTGACTTGATGAGCTCATTCAAGGATAGTTTTAGAACTTTCATTTTTGCCATCTTTCCCTCTGGTGCTTTTCTTTATTTGGAGCCACTTGTTAAAAACTTCCAAATTCCCTCTTGAGATGGGGCTTAGGTCTGGGTAGAAAAGGTGTTGATTTCATAACTGGGGCAGCCTATATTGAAGTCTTGAGGCCCTTGGGATTGACAATGAGAAGCCCTCATTCTACTTTTCCTTTGAAACAACTGCTTCAAAAGGAATGATCTCAAAGCAAGTTAGACACTCAGCAAAAGATTTGTAGTAGGAGAAGTGAACTTGCCTTTTGAGTTTGCCTTTAATCAGGGAGGTAAATAGGGAGAGGGGTCTAGTGAAATTTCCACAGTTTCATTGTGGTCTTTGCTTATTTGTACTTACATTGGTTAATATTTTAATTAGCAAAATACTTTCTGCTAAAGCTTTGTGCATAGAGATAATACAACTGGATTGTTGATAAATTATAAAAGAAACAGCATGTGGCTGAGTTTTCATAGCACCTTTAATTGGAGGCTTAGAGCACCTGCTACACTTCAGATCATATGATCCACCCCACAGAAGCACATAATACTTCCCAAAAGATTCCTCTGCCAGGGGGCAGTGATAAATCCCCTCCTAAGCAAGACTAGTTAGCCTTTATTTTTTGTATTGCTGTGGGCATCTCACATGACATTCCCAAATAAGGTATTGTGCTACAAGCCTGCTATGATTACTAGTAATGACTTAACGGCAAAGGAATTATTACAGTATGAATAACAGTGGTTTACACTGTGAATGCCCTAGCTACTCCAAAAATGCCAGAGCATCAAATATAAAGTGCTTCTCATTCGCCAGTTTGAAAGAGTAAAAGTCAGAAGACTACAAATGCTGCTAATCTGTAAACACTGGTTGTTCATTCAGCAGCAGGAAGCAAAACAAATGTAAAACAAGTGATGGCATTAGCCGTTGTGCTGCATGCAAAGACAATTATATTAAGGGAATGAAAAAAATAAAGATTATATTCAAATACAAGGCAATTGAGAAAAAAAATTTTGCCTTCAAAGCTATTAAATAGGAAATTTATGTGCATTTTGACTTTGGATTTTAGACTGATCACATTACCACTGTTACGAGGCATATGTCTTGTTCCACATATTCATATCTGGCATTATAAATTAATGGTATAGAAGTACAATATTAAATTTATGTTCTTAATTATATTGCTATACCTCTTTATTTTCAAAAAGGATTTGCATTCAATTGAAAAATTAAACATGACATGACTTTAAAAAGCATAGAAAACTAATTTAAAGGAGCAAATACTAAATAACATTATTTATTGTATGGCATGTGTGGTTAAAAATAATTAATTTACCCACCCAATGTTTAAGAAATATGCCAATTACATATGTACACCTCAAATAGTCATTTATTTATTGAGCTGATGTTTACCTTCTAGAATTGTAGCTTACAGTTAAAGATTATAGATGAGATATAACCTTTGTATAGCATTATGAATTAGGGCAGTGGATTTTGCAGGCATTCACTTCACAGGAAAAGGAAAAATGAAAAAAAAAAACTTCTCAATCTAGAGATTAATGCTTCTTAGTGTCTATAATTTAAAAATTGCTAATATCAAAAAGAGGGCTCTTTATGCTGTAACAGGTAAACTTTATAACTGTGAATGCACACTGAATTTCATAAATAAAAGGCAAACATATCTTATTTGCCAGCTTACTTTTAAGAATTTTTGGGCTTGAAAAATAGAAAGGATCTGGGGAACGTCTAAATTATCTCATAAAACTATTTGCTGGGGCATTAGCTTTTACCCAGGTACCCTTTCCACTAGAAGGGATCCCAGCTAAATTTCACTGTTTTCTTTCATGACAACTTGTCCCACTTGCCCAAACACCTATGCTTCTTCTCATGATCCCATACATCTAAACATTGGCATTGCGAAGTCTGGCAAGTCAGGTGAATGAAAGTAGTAAGGTATCTAAGAAGGCTGTGGATGCCTTGCACAATTGGAGTTACTCATAGAGATTTTATTGGCAACTCGACTCCCAGATGGGCTACGGGCTGGGAATTTTACTTCTTCAGCATTTAGAACTATGTTCCATATACTTGTCTTCCTATTCAGGTTTTAATACCCAGTTGCTTGACCAAGGGACAAGAAATGACTTTTACTTGGGATTCTTGAATAATTGCCAGAAAGGAATTGACTCTGAGAATTGCCACTTCCCGGGTCCCCATAGTGTATAAAAAGTCAAATGGTCTAAGCTAGAGGTTAGAGACTGGGTTCATATGAACAACATAATAACAATCTAGGTGACAATAATAGTGATCTATGTAGTTTTCATCTGAGGGATGGGGTAGAAGGTGGAAGGATCTGTCAAACGCCATTTTAACATGCTTAAGAGACAATTAATTTTCATATTAATATTAATAGCCTTAGATCACTGAAATCAAGTAAAAGCCATGCCACAAAACATAGCAATAAATTTTATGTCTTAGTCACAATACATTTCCAAAGTATTTTCTCATTTTTTAAGCTAGGTCTGAGGTTGATAACTTATGGACTTCAGGTCTAATGTAGTCTGTTATCTATTTATGCAGGCTCATAGGCTACAAAGAAACTTTAAGTTGTTGAAAACTATCAAAAGTAGAATAATATTTCATGGCATGTGAAAATTATATGAAATTCAAATTTCAGTGTCCATAAATAGATATTCATTGGACCACAGCCATGCTCATTTATTTATGTATTGTCCATGACTGCTTTTGCATTACAACAGCAGAGTTGCATCATTGCAATGGAGATCATATGGCCTGCAAAGCCTCAAATATGTACTGTCTGGTCCTTTACAAAAAAAAAAAAAAAAAAAAAAAAAGTCTAAACTAAAAGCTTGCAGACCTGTAAATTGAATTATTTACTCTTTAGGGTCAGAAACCATATTTTGTACATTTCTAACGTCCCCCAGATTGAAGAAAACATAGAAAGTGCTCAAGGATAATTCACTGTTGCTCACTCCCCATGCATGACTGCCAATTCGAAACAGTCATAAGCTTTCTGACAAACTGAGTATTGTGACCCAGAGGAATTTTGTAGCATGTGAGCAGGGCTTCTGATGTTCAGGACACAGAGGTTGCACATTGAGCACATGCTCCATATAATTAATTATTCTACTTTCTCTACCTTCATTCTACATACGGAGGCAGTTTAGCTTGAGAGAGAGGAGATGATAAGAAAAGAAACACACACACACACACAATAGAAAAAATAATAATATTTACCAAAAAAAATGGAAACAACAGTCATTTCTAATATAAAATGATTACCTACTATGTGACTAGCACATATTATCATCTTTTAATTTTTTTCTTGGCCAGGTATGTTAGCTCATGCCTATAATCCCAGCACTTCAGGAGGCTGGGACTGGAGGATCACTTGAGCACATGTGTTTGAGACCAGCCTGGGCAACATGGTGAGACTGTCTCGACAAAAAAACAAATATAAAAATATTAGCTGAGCAGAGTGGGTTTCACCTGTGTTCCCAGCTACTTGGGAGGCTAAGGCAGGAAGATTGCTTAAGCCCAGGAGGTCAAGGCTGCAGTGAGCTGTGTTTGCTTCACTTCAGCCTGGGCAACAGAGTGACAATTTATCAGTCCTCTCTCTCTCTTATTCTCACTCTCTCTCTGTCTCTCTCTCTCTCTCTCTGTCTCTCTCTCTCTCTCCCTCTCTCTCTCTCTCTCTCTCTCTCTCTCTCTCTCTATATATATATATATATATATATATATATATATATCTTATGAACTGAAATGTGTCCTCCCTCACTTAAAATTTTTAGATATTGAATTTCAAACCCCAATGTATCAGAATGTGACTGTATTTGAAAATAGAATCTTTAAAGAGGCAATTCGGTTAAAAAGCAGTCATTAAGATCAGTCTTAATCCAATATAATTGGTGTTCTTAAAAGAATAAGAAATTTGGATACAGCCATGTCCAGAGGAAAGTTGATATGAAGACACAGAGAGAAGGTGGCTGTGTGCAAACCAAGGAGTGAAGCCTCAAAATAAACCAATCCTGCCAACATTTGATATTAGACTTCTGTCCTTCAGAACTGTGGAAAAACAAATGCCTGCTGTTTAAGCCATACAATCTTAGGTACTTTATCATGGCAGCCTTAACAAGTTAATATGTTATCTTAAAAAGTTTAAGTAAAGTGTGATTTCCATAAGACTGAATATCTGCCATTAAGACTATGAATGAAAATAATTTGATGCATGATGAGGTGTTCATGTTTCAAACCCATCTTTAAATTTTTATCTATATGTTTGAGACCCTACTACCTGAGAAGGATTATTCTAGGTGTTCCAGATGTGTTGGTGAACAAGTGTGACAAAGTCCCTTACCTCATGAAGCTTCCATCCCAGGGGAGACAGTCAGAAAATGTATAAACAAAATACATAACTAATATATTTTGAGTTAAAATGGAAACTTTGTGGAGTTTGACTAGTTATAGTAGTTGTAAAGACCTCTGGATACATTTAAGCTGAACCTATGTGGTAAGAAGATATTTAAAATATGAAAGAAAAAAAATCTCCAGAGCTTGGAAATTCTTGGAAAGCCTCCAGAGTTTCCAAGACAGGGATAATTTTGATATATATAAGTGATGGGAGAAAGACTATTTTGGTCAAAGCATAAAGAAAGAAAGAAGTCTTGTTGGGAACTGAGGATGGAGAGGAAATCAGGATGCAGGTCTTACATGGCCTTTCACTTTCAGGGGAGGAATTAGAGGGGTGCTGAGCTATGAAAAAAAAATTTATGAATTAAGCTTTTAAGTTCATTTTGTCCACTCTTTAAGCTAGGTGAGCCATGATGGCTTAGGTTAGAGATTCAGCTATAAAGACATTAGAGGGTGAAAAGATTCTAGATGTGTGGCAGTGATATGCCAACAGAAGTGATGACATGCTGCTTGTAGACTGCAGGAAAAATAAAGAAAACAAGCATGATTCTTAGAAGTTGAAATTAAGAGAGGGCCAGGTGCAGCGGCTCATGCCTGTAATCCCAGCACTTTGGGAGGCCAAGGTGGGTGGATCATTTGAAGCCAAGAGTTTGAGATGAGCCTGGCCAACATGATGCAACTCTGTCTCTACTAAAAATACCGGGTGGTAGTGGCACACACCTGTAATCCCAGCTACTCAGGGAAAGCTGGGACAGGAGAATCACTTGAGCCTGGGAGGTGGAGGTTGTAGGGAGCCGAGATCACACCATTGCACTCTAGCCTGGGTGACAGAATATGACCCTGTCAAGAAAGAAAGAGAAAGAGAGAGAGAGAGAGAGGGAAAGAAAGAGAGAAAGAAAGAAAGAGAGAAAGGAAGGAAGGAAGGAAGGAAGGAAGGAAGGAAGGAAGGAAGGAAGAAAGGAAGGAAGGAAGGAAGGAAGGAAGGAAGGAAGGAAGAAAGGAAGGAAGGGAGAAAGAAAGAAAGAAAGAGGAAGGAAGAAAGGAAGGAAGGAAGGAGGAAGGAAGAGAGAATTCACTTTGGCTTGTAGAGAGATGACTAAACATTCTGTTTCACATATATTTAAAGTTTTTACATTAAATACACCAGCAGAGATATGAAGTGGCCGATAGTATGTACAAGTATTGAGGTCAAAAGAGAAAGCAGAGCTGGAGATAAGATGCAAGGTTAATTCAAGTCATAGGCTTGGAAAAGTTTACATAATAAGAAATTGTAGCTTGGAAAGGAAAAAAAGGCTTAAAGGAAGTCTAGAGAAATCCAGCATTGAAAATCCAGCATTGAAAGAAGTAGCCAGTGAGGTTAAAAAGATATTCCAGACCGGGTGCAGTGGCTCAAGGCTGTAATCCCAGCACTTTGGGAGGCCGAGGTGGGTAGATCACGAGGTCAAGAGATCGAGAACATCTTGCCCAACATGGTGAAACCCCGTCTCTACTAAAAATACAAAAATTAGCTGGATGTGGTGGCATGCACCTGTAGTCCCAGCTACTTCGGAGGCTGAGGCAGGAGAATTGCTTGAAACTGGGAGGCGGAGGTTTCAGTGATCCGAAATTGTGCCACTGCACTCCAGCCTGGCACCTGGTAACAGAGTGAGACTCTGTCTCAAAAAAAAAAAAAAAAAAAGATATTCCAAAGAGGGTGGCGTTACAGCAGCTTAGAGAGACACTCTACTGAGAAGGAAGGAATGGACAACAGAGTGGACATTTGGAGGCACAATTTCGGTGACATGGAGAGGTGCTTTGGCACCCGTATTGGATGGGTTGAGAAGAGGACTAGAAGTGCAAGAATAAGATCAATAAATATAGAGAATTCTTCTAAGGCGTTTCAATAGAGAAAATGAATAGAAGCAAATGGCTGGTGAGCCCTGTGAAGCCATTTTCGAAAACATAGAGCGATATTAAAACATTTTCATTGTTTACTTTACTGTTGGGAATAATTTAGAGGTAAGAAAAACTTAATGATAGAGAGAGAGGGGGCCTAATTGTAGAGCAAGGACAATCAATAAATGACAGCAAACGAGGTTCTTCAAACCACATGTGAAGAAATTGGCCTTAGAAAATAGCTGACATCTCTATGTAGCAGGAGGAAAGAAAAAGCTATCTAGGTACAGATGCAGATACATGAGTGAATTCTTTGTGGAAAGGTAAGGTCAATTCTTACAATAAATGTTTTCAATAATATTTGATTTATGATCTTCAGGGTAGAGTAAGGGGTTGTGGTATGTTTGGGAAGAGAAAAATGGTGTGGAAATAGCAATTGAAGAACTTGGAGAGATGTGCTGAAATATCCATGTGTGCTGAATGCCCATTTTGAGATTTGTAAATATAAATTTAAAGTGAGATCAGTTCACATAATGGAAGGAATTTTTCTTCAGTCATAAGTAGCTGCTGAGACTGGTGGATAAATGGTTGGATTTAACCATAGTTGGGGTTTTGCCAGGAGCGAGGTCAGAGGGTGAAGGGGAAAAAAAAGACCAGGGCCTTAGAAAGACATTGGCTATAGGGCTACATAGCCACCAAGGAATCTAAGGAATCTTGGGCTCTTGAGGAGGGCTGCAAGGACAGGGTGTGGAGGAAGGTAAAGGAAAAATTGATTTGGTGAGGAAAAACAGAGTCAATTATTGGAGGCCTGTGAAAGATTGAAAGCTGGCTGGAGTGGAATTACTTTAGTAAGTAAAGGAGCAAGTTAGAACGTGGAAGTAAAGTGGGATGTACAAAATGCAAATTTTTGTCTGGTGTGTAGTGTCTCATGCTTATAATCCCAGGATGGCGTGAGGCCAGGGGTTCAAGGTCAGCTCGGGCAACATAGGGAGGCCATATCCTTACTAAAAATAGAAACAAAAATTAGCTGGGTATGGTGGCATGCTTACAGTCCCAGCTACTCAGGAGGCTGAGGGGTAGGATCACTTGAACCCAGGAGGTTGAGGCTGTAGTGAGCCATTTCATGCCCTTGAACTCCAGCCTGGGGGACAGAGCGAGACATTGTCTTGAAAATGTAAATAAATAAAACAAAAATAAAATGCATATTACGTGGGAATGAAAGAGATGAAGACAAGACCCAGAAGTTGAGCAGATCAATGATTTTAGATAGATCGATGTTGAATTTCCACAGAAAATGACTGGAGTAGCAATGAAAACATCAAGTACTAACGGCGATGAATGAAATGTAGCTATGCATTTTCACTTAAAAGGTTAAAAAGTGAGGGATTCTTTGTACCTCAATAAGGCACTGTCTTAGTCTTTTCTGGAAGCTGTGGCTAATAACTCAGCTTTTAGAGATACATAACATCTGTTTATCACACCACAGAACAGTTCACATGAGCTATTAATGTGAAGTTACTATGCATGCGATATTAGAAGACTTCAAAGAACACTCTGATAAAACCTGAGAAGTACTAGCGCATACACACATCTATGGACCATTCCAATTGCTTGATGGTTGTAACAAAATTAGACTATTTCTCAGAAATAATCTACTGCTTGCATGCTATTTGGAAAATTGGTTTTTGGTTTACAACAAAAGTTCAAGCAATGGAATTTAAAAATTAGAATTAT